CTAGTAGATGGATTTGTTCTTGTCTATCTTGCAGGTAAATTTAGGACAGTACTGTGCCATGTTCAAGAACCTCTGAATGGAGGTACTGCTTCTAGTTGACCCAAAACATTGATTTAAATCACCAAGACGAGGGCCTCCCCGGTGGCACAGCGGATGAGCGCTGGGTTGCGAAGCTGCCCGCGGCCTTGCGGCACGGTTCCATCCCCGGCTGCCCCGGCCACCAGAGGAGGGTCCCATATGGCGCACAGACCTCTCCTGCTGCCCGCTGCTCCCCTCAGCAGTGTACTTTGGTCCTTCTGCCTGCTCTGCTCCCCGCTCTGGCTCTGGTGAATTCTCTCACCTTCCCGCGCTTCTGACTGTACCAGTGCTTGTATAAATAAATAAATAAATCTTAAAAAAAATTAAATCACCAAGACGAGTATGGCCTTCATCGTTGGCAAAAAGTCAGACATAGGAACATGCTGGAGTTCAAATCATTTCATCAATTTCTCCTTATGGAAATATGCTGACAGCTGATTAAAATCCTGATGTATCTTCATGGTAGTAATAGGGATCAGGACTATTATTTAACATTTCCAAAAGAAATCTTCACAGGCATATGATGAAAGAACAGGTGACTTTCCAAACACAGAGCATAGAGTTGTGTGTGTGCACATTAGCTAAGTAATGAGCCTCTATGTTGACCACCAACAATGGGATTCAGGAATCAGAAGAACAAGAATGCTTCTTAAATGCCTGCAACTTGATTTTGACCAAAGAGCATACACTGGTAGCTGAACTAAGTATGTTTTAATAAAGCTGATTTTTTAAAAAAATTACTTATTTATGCATATAAGATCAGAGGTTGAAGCCGAGGTTGGGTTGGGGCGGTGGTGAGAAGATTCACCAGAGACAGAGTAGGGAGAAGAACAGGCAGATCTGCTGAAATGCACTGTGAAGGGGAGCAGCGGACCAGACAGGAGAGTTCTGCTGCACCATGTGGGTCCGCTCCTTGCCTGGGGATCGAACTCATGCTGTTGTGTCTAGCGACAGCTTGATACCACTAAGACTTTGACCCTTCTGCCACCAGGGAGGCCCATAAACCCGACTGATTTTTATGTGTATATCCTCAGGTATATTTGATAACTTTATTTGTATTTTTTTTTTTTTTGCATAGAAGAACAAGAATGTAGGCCAGTGGTGCCGTTGGTGAGAGGATTCATCAGCGACAGAGTTAGGAGCTGAACAGGCAGAGTAAATGAAATACACTGTGAAGAGGAGCAGCGGGCATGAAAGGAGAGGTCTGTTGTGCCATGTGGGTAAGCTCCCTGGCCTGGATCAAACTCAGGCCTTAGCAGTAATAAGGGTGAGACTTAATTTCTAGGCTACCAGGGAGACCCTGATTACATTATCCTTCATCAACATTAACCAATTCCTCCTTGTTCAAGGATTTGGTAAACTATAGGAACAATAAACTGGTTGTCAACACAGTGTCAGGCTCCATTCACACAGGCCTCAAATCTAAAATAGTTTTGATTGTATTTTGCAACAACTACACTTTTGTCTGTTTAGTAACAGTGGACGTTGTAATGTGTATATTGATAATTATGTAGAAGTATTGTCAAGAACTTTCGTCCAACACTCCATGGTACCCTCATAGAGGATCTTGCTACATTGCCTCAATCACACCCTGAAGAATCACAAATACATATAATTTCTTTACATGAGCTCATTTGCACATATTGGCAATGGTAGTCCCTCACAGGCCCTCCCCATGATTGGCCCTGGACCTCCACAGAGTGGGCAATAGTCTTACTGTTTTAGGTTTACCTCAAATAATATAATCTCAGTTCAGAAAAGTTGAAGCACTCCAGTTAGGTAGCCTAATACATTCACATGCCCCATTTCCTGCAACTCTCTCCTTCTGAACTCTGACGCATCCACATAGCTGCACAAGGTGTGAGTGGACATTTATCAGTATCTCTGTGTCATAAATTCCTCTATTCCATTCCTTGTCTGGTCTTCTGTTGAACTGTGACTCTTAACAATTTCTACTTTAACTAGTCACATGTACAATGAGAAGCAATGCCTCGGCAATTCTCAATCAGGACCTATAAAATCGTACCCAATTTAACAGTCCATTTTCACGGCCTATACAACGAACACTCTCATGGCTGTGATACATGTTGAACACTACATGTAAATATATTAGGAGGCATTATTTAGGAATGGCAGAATGTGTGGGAAGAGAGTGTGTGTCTCTGGGCCTGATGTCCGTCACAGGCAGGCAGTGCTGGTAGTGGGTCACACAGCAGTTGCTTAGTTTTTGGTCAGGATGCAGTAACTCTTAAAATCTGTCTGGCAGGATGGAAAATGTCGTTAAAAGCCCATTTAGCGAGAAATGAGGAGACTGCGAGCCCCTCAAAATCAGACCTTTTAAGATACAGGTGGAAGGACCCTGGCTCAGCCTGGAGGCCTCCAGCAACTCTAAGCCCTCACACTGTAAGATGTTAAAGGACTAAACATAGCAAGACAGCAGCCATTTTAAGGAAAACGACCGTTTTAAAGAGCACAGCTGTCCGTTGCAGGGTAAAACCACAAGAACCACAAGGCCAGGGTGAACGAAACTTAAAGGCTGCCAAAGAAAGGTACACAATCAGATTGAACTTGGTCCCCATTGTGAAAGGTCCCCTTTTTCTGATATGAAAGGTCCCTTTTTTTCTGCTGTAACAGAGTATAAAAAGAACTTGTCACCCTTAAAGGGGTCCTTCTCTCAACCTGATGAGACTGCTGTGTCAGTACACCAGGCAGAGTCGGGCCCTAGCTTAAGCTAGCAATAAAGCTTTTTTGCTTTTGCATCTCTGGCTCCGTGTAGTTTTTGGGAACCCCGGAAGGAGTTGAGGCGCCAACTCCTAACAACACGGTGCATGGAGAGAATGGGGTCTGAGGGTACAGAGTCCCATCTGGGAGCCTCCAAACCGGTTTCTCACTGGCGCCCAGAAAGGCAAAGCTATGACACAAGAAAGGCCTTCACATGGGTTTATTCAAGATGCTGTCCAGGGAGTGTGCCCTAAACACCCTCCTGGGGTGCAGCTCCCCAAGCGCAGGGAGAGAGCAGAGTGAGAGGAACCCACTTCTCTGGCATCAAAACACTCTCCTCTTTTTCTTCGCCAAACAGACTCGGTTCCGGCGCGCTGGGCGGTCTGCGAGGCCGCGCTCACGTGGCCCCACCACCCAATATGTCCCTGAGCCCCACTGGGGGAGGACGCGCCCTGACGCTCCCGGACGCGCGGCGCGCGGGATTGTGGGAAATGTAGTCTCCTGAGGACACGCGGTTCCGCCCAGGGCTCCGCCCAGGGGCGTCCTGCCTCGCCGGCCTCGTCTGCGCAGGCGCGGCCCCGCGTCCTCCCCGTCTTTCCGGGCCCGGGGCCTCCGCGGTCGCTGCTCCCCGCCGCGGGTTGCGAGCGGCCTTGTCGCCGAGGCTGGGCTTGGGGTGAGGCTGAGGGCCCGCGTGCGGGAGCGGGGGGCGGGCGCGGCGGGGAGGCGCCGGGGGAGGCCTGAGGCGGGTGAGGGGGCCCGTGGCCCGGAACAGGCGCCAGGAGGGTCCGCGGGGGCGAGGCTGGGGGCGAGGGGGCGGGGTCCCCGCCCTGGACACGGGCGAGCCCCCCGACGGCCGCCCCTCCGCGTTTCCGGGAGTTCCGTGCGCTGTGACGCCCTGGGACGGCTGTCGTGGGCTGCGGAACCCCCGCCACGTGCGCCCGCCCCGGGTGTGGCTTCCGCGGGTCCCCGAGCGTTTTCTCCCGGAGACCCCGAGCTCACCCTGGAGCGCGCGGCCGTTTCCCTCCGGACGCGGACGGGGCTGCGTTCCGGGGTCTCGCGTCCCTCGCGGCGTGGCCCGAGGACACGCGGGCTGCGGAGGTCCCGGCCCTGACCGGCCCGGCGGGTAAGAGTTTCCCGTCCTTTGTGCCCGTTTATCGTGGCCGCCGCCCCGCCGCGTGCCTGCCCGTGACCCCGGGTCTCCCCAGGAGGACGGTGTCCCGGAGGCCAGACCCCTGGAAAAGTGCTTTTCCTCCCGTGCGTGTGCGCCCTCTTTCCCTTGGGGGGACACCCCAGGCACATCCAGGGCATGGGCACCGGGGTGTACGAGGACATGAAGCCGGGCTCTCGGAACCATTCCTGGGAGTGTCCGTCCTGCCAAAGAAGTGCATAAGGTGCATCATTTCCTTTGAAATTGTGTCCAATTTTTTTAATTCATTTTCTAAATTTTTTTTAAGATTTATTTATTTATTTGTTTGCTTATACATACAAGCACTGGGTACAGTCAGAAGCGCGGGAGGGTGAGAGGATTCACCAGAGACAGAGCAGGGAACAGAACAGGCAGACTGACGAAGTACACTGCTGAGGGGAGCAGCGGGCGGCAGGAGAGGTCTGTGCACCATGTGGGACCCTCCTCTGGTGGCTGGGGAGCAGCCCGGGATCGAACCGGCACTGCAGAGGCTGCGGGCAGCTTCGCAACCCAGTGCTCAACCGCTGCACCACCGGGGAGGCCCTTAAGTGATTTTTTTTTTAAGATTTATTTATTCATGTGTACAAGAACCTGGGTACAGGCCAGATGCACAGAAGGGTGAGAGGATCCACCAGAGACAGAGCGGGGAGCAGAACAGGCAGACTGACTGAAATACACTGCAGAGGGCAGCAGTGGGCGAGACAAGCGATTTCTGCTGCGAGATGTGGGATTCTCCCGGGTTGGCCGTCGGGGATCAAACCCGTGCTGCAGATACTGTGGACGGTTTCACAGCGCTGGGCTCCACCCCCTGGGCCACCAGGGAAAGCCCTTTTTAAGTGATTAATCATCTTTGAAACTTTTGTTTAGTTCTTCACATGGACTACTAGTCAGTCTTAGGAATCATCAGTTTTTATTAACTTACGGTAAATTGTAAACCCAAATAGTATTAATAATGGACTAGTGGGTCCTTTCCTGCTCCTTCTCAGAGTGTAAGCACAGCTGTCACGTGCAGTGACTCTGGTCTCTCCCAGGCAGTGTGTGGAGCGCTCTGGACAGGAGACTCCAGGACCCGGGACCAGCTGCCTCAGTCCTTTCCTGCAGGATTCCATCACCTCTCCCAGCGCCGCCTCCAGAGTCCTCTGGCATCTTTGAGAGCAGTGGACAATGGATAAATCTCTGGTGAGTGATTTGTTTTCTTTAGCTTAGCTGGGCAGTTGGTAACAGTGCTGCTCTGCTCTTAGGTATAGATGAATCTTGTAATGAGTTTTCACGTTGGGATAAATAACTTAATAGAAGTATTGCTGATCATATGGAATTTCTATTTTTATTTCTTTAAGAAATCTCTGCACCGTTATCTGCAGGGACTGTACTGCTCTAATGGCTCAAACTCATGCTGCAGTGACTGGGAATAGCCTCCTAGCATTGTGTCTTAACCCCTTGCGCCACAAGGGAGGCCCGGATACATTATAAATTTTGGAATGAACTCCTTGTCAGATGTGTGACATGCAATTATTTTTTATATTCTATAGGGTGCCTTTCTGTTTCTATGCTGGTTTCTTTTGAGTTCCAAAAGCTTTTAGGTTTGGTGTTGTCCCACATGTTGAATTTTGCTTTTCTTTCCCTTGGTGTTGGGGTTGTGTTCCCTAATGCATTTTGTAGCAGCTGTCCTATAGTGTACCCCTTATTTGCTTTCAGTACTTCATGCTTTGGGCTCTTATGTCCAAACGTTTCAGCCATTTGGAATTAGTTTTCTGTATGGAGTTTTGAATGGGTCTTGCTTCTTAGTTTTGCAAGTCACTATACATGTTTCCTGAAACCATTTTTTAGGAAGATATATTTATGCATGGAAGAACTGGGGTGTAGACCAGATGTTCCGGGCTTGAGAGGGTCCACCAGAAAGAAAGTAAGGAGCAGAACACATAGATCCACTGCAATGCACTGCTGAGGGAAGCAGTGAGGGAGACAGGTGAGGTTTGCTGTGCCACATGTGAGTCAGCTCTCTGGCCTGGAATGGCCATGCTGTATATATAGCACTGACTCTTAACCCCTTTGCCGCCAGGGGTCCCCATCCCAGTATTATTTATTAAATAGGCTGTCTTGTCTAAATTGTATGATTTTAGCTCCTTTGTCCAAGATGAACTCTTCGTATTTATATTATTTGCTTTCTGGGTTTTTAATTGCCTTCCATTGCTCTGAGTTCTGGTTTTGTTCCAGTAAAATAATGTTGTCATTACCATTGCCATTTAATATATTTTGAAGTCAGGAAGTGTGATCGATACATTTCACTTTTTCTCTCAAGATTTTTTTTTGCTATTTGGGACCTTCTGTGGGTTCACATAAATGCAGTGATTGTTCTCTTTCTTACAAAAAACCTCCTTGGTATGTGGATAGGTATTAGCTCTGTAAATAGCTCTGGACAATAAACCATTTATGATGTTAATTCTTCCCACCTAGGAGCACAGGACATCTTTCTATTTCTTCTTATCTTTTGTTTCCTTTACTAGAGTTTTATAATTTTCAGTGTTCAGGTCCTTCACCTCCTTTAACTTTTTTTTTTAAGATTTATTTATTTATGTATACAAGAGCTGGGCTGCAGGCCAGGGTATGGCAGAAGGGGTTGTGTGAGAGGATTCACCAGAGACAGAGTAGGGAGCAGAACAGGCAGACTGACTGAAATACACTGCTGAGGGGAGCAGCGGGCGAGACAGGAGAGGTCTGCTGCGCCATTTGGGTCACCTCCCTGGCCGGGGATCGAACTCATGCTGCAGTGGCTGCAGATAGCTTCATAGTGCTGCCTCTTAACCCCTTGTGCCACTAGAGAGGCCCCTCCTTCTTTAACTTGAATGAAATAATCACAGCTATTTCATTCTTTTTGGTGTGAATATCAATGGAAATGCCAGTCTTTTCACACACATTCTCTTCATAACTTGTTTATACTTTCAGAGAAATAAACAAATTTTATCATGTATTCAATTGTAAAAAGTGGTAACATAGTTCAACATATATAATGGACACCAAGGGTTCAAATATGATTGTTTTCTTGTTGTTCTGCTTAGTATTTGATCATTATTTACAATTTCCTTCCAGTCTTTCAGGTCAGTCTACTATGAATTTTCCAATTGTCCTGCCTCCCTGCTGTACAAATGTGTGCCCTGGGTCAGATTTGACATCACTGAAATTATAGCGTCCATGGTGGTTCTGTGGGTATATGTGATCTTCTGGTCTCAGTGGGTGCATTAGACTGTTAATGTGTAAACATGGGTCTCATAAGGGCATTCTTCTCTCTTAGAACCAGGTCTCCCTTTTTTTAAGATTTATTTTACTTATTTATATGTAAACCAGAGGTCAGGGCATTGGGTGGGGGATGAGATGATTCACCAGAGGCAGAGTGGGGAGCAGAACAGGCAGATCTATTGAAATACACTGCTGAGGGGAGCAGCAGGGAGACAGGAGAGGTCTGCTGCGCCATGTGAGTCAGATCCCTGGTCAGGGATCCAACTCATCCTTTGGTAGTTGTCGTAGCTTCATAGTGCTGAGACTTAACCCTTTGTGCCACCATGAGGATACTCTTAAAACTCTCTTTTCACCTCATACCCTATTCAGAGCTCCGCTGTTGGCCACATGGTAACTGTATATTTTGATTTCAGGAACCCTTGACCTTCAGAGATGTGGCCGTAGAATTCTCGCAGGAGGAGCAGGACTACCTGGACCCGGCACAGTGGGAATTTTACCGAGACGTGATGTTAGAGACCTACAGGAACCTGGCGTCCTTGGGTGAGGAGAATATCCCTCCAGATTTCCTCATCTGCCCTCACCGTTTCCTGTGCTATGTGTGTATGCTCCTGGGATGTCCAGATTTGTAGGCTATGTTTACATCCCTGATTTTCAGAAAAACAGTGTGAGTTTGTTGGAAAGAAAGTCTCATGCTGTTTGATCATGACTTAAACTTCTCTCTTAGGTGATCTGCAGCCTGCTCTATTAGTGCTCATTCAAGAAAATCAGTTCCTTATTACAAGCTAAAATCAGTGTGTTATTGCACATTCCTATGACTCAGATGTCTGGAAATGGTTCTCAGGATTGAAAATTTATTTCTTTAAAGATTTATTTATTTATGCATACAAGAGCTGGGGTTCAGGCCAGAGGTGTGAGGGGTGAAATGACTCACCAGAGACAGAGCCGGGTACAGAACAAGCAGATCAACCAAAGCACACTGCTGAGGGGAGCAGCGGTCGAGTCAGGAAACGTCCACCTCGCCATGTAGGCCACTCCCTGGCCAGCCAGGGATTGAACTCTCGCTACAGAGGCCACGGACAGCTTCACAGGATGCTCCTTAACCCCTTGCACCTCCAGGGAGGCCCCAGGATTTGAAAATTTAAATGATTTCTGGTAAAGGTGGTGTCAGAAAAAGTATTTGCAGTGATCCTTTTCTAGAACCTTCTGTATTCTCCGCTCTACTGAGCACAATCCTGTATTGGTAATTTGAAAACCTGCAGGCCATCTCATATCACCTGTCCTAATAAACAGGTCTTGCTATGTCTAAGCCTGACCTGGTCGTCTTGTTGGAGCAAAAGGTGGAGCCCTGGGATGTGAAGAGAAGTGCAAATCCCGTCCTCCTCCCAGGTAGGTGGAATGAATCTGGCAGAGGCCGCAGCTGGCAGGTTCAGTGGTACAGGAAAGCATCCTAAATATGTCTAGGAAGCTCTGTTTCAGGGATTGCAGACATGCTCCTATTTTGTCCTGGAGTCTTAGTCTTACTTTCCCTGGGGGCGTCTCCTCTCGGACACCGAGTCCTCTGCCTTTCCTTCTTACTGAATTGAACTTAGGTTTTGTCCATTTTGTTGATCTTTCAAAATCCAGACTTCCTTTCATGGAGAAGCACCTGCTTTTTGGCCATGATGTTACATCTATGTATTTTTTATTTCATTTTAAATGTCCTCCTTTCTGCTAATATGGAGCTTAAATTATTCTTTTTCTAATTCCTGGAGGTGTGAAGTTATGTTGCTCAGGTGAGATCCCTCTTATTGATAGTGTAATTGTTTAATGCTTTAAATTTACTTCTTAGTGTTATTTTCTGAATCCCACATGTTTTGGAAGTTAGCTTCCTTTCAGTGTCTCAGTATTTCTTAGTTATTTAGAATCTAGGAAACACGAGTTTACCTTGCTCTATGTGATTCGAGAATAGATTCTCATCACCTCAAATGTTTGTCACCACCACACCCACCACCACTGCACTTATGGGCCTCACCATAGATCTTTGAATCCACTCCCACTTTTGTACCCACAGCCAGTGCCCCTACCTCTTCAGTACCCTCACTTCTGCAGTCTTAATTCTCGAGTTCATTTTGGTTTGTATTTTCAGTTTCTTTGCTTTGTTTCTCCATATTCCAAACAGGAGAGAATTCATCCAGTAAGTCTTTCCCCTTCTGATTCATTTCACTGAGCATCATTCTCCCACAATATTCCATCCTTGTCGTTGCAAATGGCCAGATGTATCCTTTTTCAGTAGTATTCCACCCTGTGTATATACCACACCTTTCTTTAGAATTATTTTTCACCCCTGTTTGTCAACTCCGGTTCCTGATTTTATACCATTATTTTCCTTCCAGTTGCAATTGGGGCTTGAACCCCTCCTTGATCTTATGTTTTCCTCTTCTGCATTCAGTTCTGTCTTTGTGTGCTGCACACATTCAGGTCCTCATGTTAGTGCATGTGTTATATTACAGTGCTTCCCAATACATGTAGTTTTCTGTTATGTTCTTGGGGCATTCTTTTCATCCTGTGAGGCTTTAAACTCAGATCATATAATTCTGATATTAGTGTGATCAACGTGACTCCATGGATCAGTTTTCATAGAATCTAGTTCCAACCTTACGTTCTACATGGTGTGCTGATGTCTGTGTTGAGTTTCATATAGGTAAGATTGAATTGGTCTTATTTTTAATTCCTTCAGACATATTTGTCATTTTCATGTGGACTTTTAATTAATTTACACACAAAGTATTTCTGAAAGGAAGGCATTAACTTTATTGAAAAATGATTCCTGTGTTCTCAGCTATTTTATACCTCATTTCCTCCCTAGTACAGCTCTGTATTATTCCTCTCTTCCTTTCTTGTGGGTGATTTCCCTCCAGTTGCTCTCACTTCATATGCTAATTGAGGTATACTGGTTTGTAATCTTATTTACAAACATTGTAAAAAGCATTGTCACACAACCTGTTACATATGACATCATTCTCTGTTTCCATTTCCTTTTCCATGTATTTTACTGGTATCTTTTTTGTCACATGGGGATTATATACCATGTTGAAAAGTTACTCAGCCTTATCTAAACTGAAAACAATTACATTCAACTGCATACCAAAACCCAACTGTTTAACATTTCTAAGTTCTCAAGCAGAAACAGTATTTTTGCTATAGGATTATATCATACCTTTTTCTCTGTTTGCTATGTATTTACCTTTCCCTGAGGACATCACCTTTTATAAGCATGTGTGTTGCTGTCTAGTGCTCATGTTACCTGTCTAACATCAGGCCGGGGGTCTTTATTTGGTATTAATTTTGTGTATAAAATAGTTAAAATATTTTATTTTGTCTTGAGTGCTGTGAGTGCAGTAATTATTCCTTGCTGTCTCCCAGCCATGTCTTCTCAAGACGACCAGGACTGCATACCACAGTCAGGCACAGAAGATTTATTCCTAAATGTGGGACTGGGAGGAGATGGAATCGACACCTTTGAGAATTTAGAATTATTGAAAGATCAGACATGTCAAGAGGCATGTGAAGGGCACAACAGTTGTTGCGATGAAGATGGCCGAGCAGTGACAATTATCCTTAGTAAAATTTCTCCTGCAAAAACTGATCCAGTGTGTAAACCATGTTGGGTAAAACTCCATTTTATGTGTGTTGCATGTATAGATAAATATGTATCTGTTAGCAAAGATCCATGTGGCATTTTTACCAATACACGTTCTCAGAGAGGAATATTGGAACATACGGGAAGTCCCCTAGTCCATAATGGAAATGATTATTCAAAACATTGTCACCATGGGGTAGGTTTAAACTTTGTGTCAAATCATTCTCAACATCAGAGAATTAGAAAGGAAGATGAAAAATCTACACAGGATCCTATTGAGGAGTCCTCAAACCTTCTCCAATATCAGACAATTGGTGAGAAACCTTACAATTGTAAAGATTATGGCAAAGATAACACATGCTGCTCAAGCCTTAATGAACATCAGAGAAAGAAATGGCGTAAATGTGGAGAGCATGGTAAAGGCTTTTATTGGAATTCACAGTTGACGCGACCTCTAAGAAGTCATACTAGAGAAAAGCCTTACATGTGTCCAGACTGTGGTAAAGCCTTTCTATATTTGTGTCGCCTTTCCCAACATCAGAGAGTTCATAATGGTGAGAAACCTTACAAATGTGAAGAATGTAAGAAAGCCTTTAAGGTGAAGTCAAGTCTTAGTCAGCATCAGAGAATTCATACTGGCCTGAAACCTTACAAATGTGAAGAATGTGGCAAAGCCTTTAACTGGGTGTCAAATCTTTCTAAACATTACAAACTTCATACTGGGGAAAAGCCTTACAAATGTAATGAATGTGGAAAAGCCTTTATTTATAATTCAAAACTTATTCAACATCAAAGAATTCATACTGGGCAGAAACCTTACAAATGTAAAGTATGTGGCAAAGTCTTTAACCAGAAGTCACATCTTAATCGACATCACAGAATTCATACTGTAGAGAACCTTAGAACTGTTAGGAATGTGGCAGAGTCTTTAAAAAAAACAGTCATATCTTAGTCAACATCATAGAATTCACACTGGGAAGAAACTACAAATGTGAAGACTGTGGCAAAGCCTTTAACTGGAAGTCAAGTCTTATTCTACATCACAAAATTCACATTAGAGTAATGTTAAAATTCAAAGGTCATTTTTTTTACTGTAGTCTCTTTAACCAGAAGTCCAGACGTTTCACCAGAAGTGGCAGTGATTATCCAGAAGTCAAATCATCCTAAACATCAGAGTGCCTAGTGAGAGAACCCGTAAATGAAAGTGACCAATGGATTGTCCAAATATATATTATGAAACCACCATATTTTCATACTGGAAACTTTAAAGAAGCAAAAATAGGAGAAAGTAATTTATAATGAAAATTAGATGCATATTGAGACATTGCAGTGCAGTAGTAAGTTAATTCCACTTGGCCAGACATAACCTAAAATGAGAATATGGTCATGGAGCATAAACCAAGATTAAAACACTAAATATTAGCATAATTTAAAAGTTCAGGAGGCCTCCCTGGTGGTGCAAGGGGTTAAGTTGCAGCTTTGTGAAGCTGTTGGCAGCCACTGCAGCACAAGTTTGATCCCTGTCCAGGGAGCTGACCGACATGGAGCAGCAGACCTCTCCTGTTTTGCCTGCTGCTCCCCTCAGCAGTGTATTTCAGTGGATCTGCCTGTTCTGTTCCCCACTCTGTCTTTTGTGAATCCTCTCACCCCCCTCACCTCTGGCCTATACCCCAGTTCTTGTATGCATAAAAATACATCTTTAAAAAACATAAATAAAACTTGAAGACAATGGTTTGGGTCATGTATAGTTATTTTCTATGTCCTTTTTCATCAGCCATACTTGAGATATGAATAGACATGATGAATGTAATTCACGCCTAAATTACTTCATTCTATGACTTACTCATGTATGTCACATCATGTGTTTGATTGTTGCTGCCTCAAACATCTAAGGGATCCTTCTCTAATGGATGGATTTGCTCACATCTGACTTGCTCCTGCAAATTTAAGGTGGTGTCATATATCATGTATGAAGAAAATGTGAATGGATATGCTGTTTGGTTGACTCAAAAGATTGATGTAAATCACCCAATTGGCATAGAAATTAGAGAAACATGCTGAAGTTCAAATTGTTTCATCCTTTTGTCCTTAGGGAATACATTGACAGTTTATTAAAGTCCTGATGTCTCTTCAGAGTAGTAATAGAGATCATGAATATTATTTGATGTTGTTGCCAAAAGAAATCTTCACAGGCACATGATGAACGAGCAGGTGACTTTCACAAAAGGGCATGGAATTCTCATCCATTCACATTAGCTAATTAAAGAGGCTCTGTGTTTGACACTACGGGATTCTGGTATCAGAAGGTCCAGAATGCTTCTTACATACCTGAATCCTGACTTTTATGAAATAGCATACAGTGCTATCTAAATGTCTTATTTAGACTATATGTGAACTTTATATATATATAATATATATATATATATTAATAATGCTCATTGAGTTTTTTTAAAGAAGCATTTTTTTTATTTATTTGTTTTTGTTTGTTTATACATGCACTGGGTACAGTCAGAAGCGCGGGAGGGTGAGAGAAATCACCAGAGCCAGAGCGGGGAGCAGAGCAGGCAGAAGGACCGAGGTACACTGATGAGGGGAGCAGCGAGCGGCAGGAGAGGTCTGCACGCCATGTGGGACCCTCCTCCGGTGGCCGGGGAGCAGCTGGGGATCGAACTGGGACCACAGAGGCCGCGGTCAGCTTCGCAACCCAGCGCTCAACCGCTGTGCCACCAGGGAGGCCCATGCTTATTGATTTTTAATGTAGTCATCTGGACATGTACTTAATCATAAGTTGTCCCCCATCAGCATTAACCAATTCCTCCATTTTAAGGCTTTCTGTAACAGATGAGAACAATCAGGTGGTTGTCTACACAATGTTACATCACCAGCAGGCGCTGTTCTCGATAGCTTATATCTGAAATAGTTTTGACTGTTTTCAATAACTACACACTTTTTGTTCTCTTTGTAGCCCGGAATATTGAGTGCTTTCAAAATAATGCTGGAGTATTTTAAAGAATTTTGCAAAACACTTCATGGTATTAGTGCTTTGCCATCCATTTTTTTGTACCTAAACTATCTCTGGGGACCCTAAATTGACACTAGACCCTCTTTTAGAGGTTCCTGCTATCGTCTGTTGTAACACTCTGCATGATCACAAGAAAAATATAAATTCTTCACATGAATTCACATGCAGAAATTGTCTTGCCTCTCCTGTCTAGGGGCCTCCCCTTGGTTGGCCCTGGATAAAATCTCCATAGAGCTGACAATTGATAATACTTAGTTACTTCCATTAACTAATACTCACTGTATTTCTGCCTTTGGTTTACCTGCAGCAATACAATTTTCAGGATCTTTGAAACACTACAGTTATTGACCTTTTAGTGGCCTTCAAACAGACATTCTCTTAGATTTGATATATATGTAATCCACCATGTAAGTACATTGAGACATCACTTAGGAATGACAGATTGGTTGTGGGGGGTGGGGTAAGTAGGTGTGTGTTTATGTTACGTACATTCTGGAGAGCAGGGTGTGTGTGTAGGGAAGCATTTTGTGATGTCACTGGCCTCAACCTCTGCGGCAATTACTTCTAAAATGGGGATGTTTGCAGGAAGTATCTGGCAGGATGGAGGCACCCTCTATTCCATTTCGGGGAAAATCAGGATAGCTCACACTGACATCTTTTAAGAATGATGTGGGGTCTCCCGGGTGGCACAAGAGATAAAACACAGCACAATGAAGCTATCCACAGCCTCTGAAGCATGAGTTTGATCCCAGGCCACCAGGGAGAAACCAAGTTGGGGTGGCACACCTCTCCTGCCTTGCTTGCTGCTCCCCTCAGCAGTGTTTTCAGTCCATCTGCCTGTTCTGCTCCCTGCTCTGTCTCCCCTCCCACACCTCTGGCCTGTACCCCAACCTCTGCGCCACTGGGGAGGCCCTTCAATTTATATTTTTTCAAAGATTATATATACAAGAACCGGGGTACAGGTCAGATGTGCGGGAGGGTGAGAGGATCCCCAAGAGCCAGTGAGGGGAATAGAACTGGCAGACTCACAAAATATACTGCTGAGGGGAGCAGCGGGCACGACAGGAGGGGTCTGCCGTGCCTTGTGCGACCCTTGCAGGCCGGCGGGGATCGAACTGGCGCTGCAGAGCCTGTGGACAGCCTCAAGTGCGATGCTCAACAGTCTGCGCCACCAGGAGAGGCCCCCAAATCAGACTGTGGGTTCACAATGACTGGTGGCTCCCCTCTTGACTCCCCTCTTGGCTCCCTGTTGGCTAATTGCTTTGGCAACTATCAGTACAAACCACATCTGATAGAATGAAAGTCTCTCTGTAATTTGAGCAGAGGCCATGCCAGGGACTGTATTGGTTCAGGTTGTCCTAAATTGCCTTCTGAGTGGAAACAAATTTTTTCTAGCTGGCCTACGAGGCTGTGATTGAATAGGGAGGGAAACCAGTGACTCTATGCGTTTCATTTTTCTAAATTGTTGGTAATGTAAGTCGGGATATTCCTCGGATTTTCATTTTAGGTTTCTCCATTTAGCCATGATACTTGGGAGGTTTCTCCCACGAGGCCTCTGAGCTCCATGTCTAAAACAAAAATTCTCATTTGAGGCTGGGGTAGATAGAAAGAAAATAGACTTTTAGAGAAGCATGAAAAATATTTTAGTAAGTTTATTCCAGTTTTATCTGCTGCAACGCTTGTAGTAGGTAGATGAAGAAATGGGAGGAATAAAGCTCCAGATAGTTGACTTTGTAATACAAAATTCATTGCGAGTGGGCCTGGGATACACGTTAGTGCTCCGTTGGTCCCAGTCTTACCACTTGCAAAGCCTCGACTGGGAGACACAATAGGAAATGGTCTTCTTAAGCCCCTGTCAGCACTCTGCGGTAGGCTTTGTTTCAGCCCAGATGGTCAATAGCGCCCTTAGGTGTCTGGGCACATACACTGACTGACCAGGGAAGAACTGGTGATAATCCGGCACCTTTCAGCTTTGTTTAAGATGTAGCAAGGAACCTGTGGGATGGAGGCAGCACTTTCTGGTTTTCACATCTAGTTCTGCCGTTCCCTGGTTTACTCTCTGCCACATGTGGCTCCTTCTAGTCTTGAAAATGTGGCTGATGCCACTGGTTGCATTCACAGGGATCCCAAATTCCAAATCCTGAAGAGGGTGTAAGTCTGATGTTCTGGTATCCACTGGTGTCCAGTGTTTGGAAATGCGCTGGGCTTGTTTGGAAAGTTTGGATTCTCTGAGCTTTCTTCTGAAGAGTCTGCAATCATTGTCAGTCTCTCCATGATGGGAGAGGTGTTGCAGAGTCCAGCTACATTCCTTAGTCTGCCTGGCCTTCATTACCTGTGTCAGGTGTATCTGGACACTTCAGGGGCAGCCTTGGCCCTCTCCAACTCAAGACAGCTCCTCCCAAACACTTTATCTGCAGGGAGCCATTGAGGAACCCCCTGTGCGCCAACATTTCTTGATTTTTTTACTGTGTGTAGTGTTGTAGATCTGTGATTTCATTCATCTGTAAACCACACTCAGCAGTGGGTATTGCTGGTCCCATTTTATACGTGAGAAAATTTTGACTTGAAGGAAGAGCAGCTTGCCGAAAGTCCACAGCTATTAAGGAAAATGGACTCCAAAGCCTTTCCAGTAACCCGTTTACCTCCCTAGAAGGATTTGGGCCTCTGTCCTTCCCCTGGCAGGAAAGCATTCCCTGGGGACTCTGTAGGGGGCTGCCCTCCTGCCCTGTGGATCAGCTGTGATAAGAGCTCACTGCAACCTGCATGGGGCTCTCTGCACTTCTGTCAACACCCTCCTGTTGAGCAGGAAGCCACACTCACATTCCTCCAGAAGGTTAGTGAGAGAGCTGCAAGCAGAAGTTGATTTTTCTTTCCCTTCCGAAACAATTATAGCTCAACTCCTTTAACAGTTGTCTTCCTAAGTTGACTTTGAGTGTAGGTGATGCAGCAAGCCCCAGACCTAGGATTTTCAAATGTCCTTGGCCAGTTATTACCAATGACTGTCAAATGTGTTCTCGGTGGTCTGGGTGTATCCCATGGGAAAATGCCTTTTCTCAGGGAGTGGAGCTTTTACAGTTCATTTGTGACTTAGATTTTAGCTGTATGTTGAATTCATACATTTCTCCGCTCTTAACTATCTTGTCTCATAGCAGAAGCTGTTGAATGTGGTCTGTGCTCATACATTAGGTGTCTGATGTGATTGTCTTTATTCTGGTGGGTTGTGCCGGGAAGGTGTTGCTTCAGCCGTGGCCAGTGATATCCTAGGGAGAAAGTGAATCAATTGGCCCTGGATTCTGTCCAGTATATTCAGTTCCTTTATTTCACATCCTAGGGAGGTGACATGATGGTCAAGGTTACAGTACTTCTTAGTGGTACCACTTGTCACCCAGATTTCTAAGTCACACTGCCCTTATACCAGGATTTTGGGGGCTCTCTGATAGGAAGAGGGAGGCTCAGAGATGAAGTGACTTGTCTGAGGTCCTGGCTGGTTGGTGTATGAGTTGCAGCTAGAACTCAAACCTGCTAAGGACTGGAATGTAGTTAACTGAATGTTTAGCTACAGAATGTTTTTGTTGTATTTTAGCTGACTGAATGTTTTTAGAAACTCAATTATGTCTCCACTCTACCAAAAAAACTAGCTGTTTAAACTTTCCCATTGTGATTGTAAGGTGAACAGTTCTCTCTGATTTGTCATATAGTAGGGGGAACAGGGACACCAATTCATGTGTTTACTTTTTGGATTTCCTGAGGCCAGCTCTCCTTAGGTTGCCCCCACCCCAATCCTAGATCCAGACCTAGGGCTCCACTGCCTGAGGACTCTGCTCCACCCGCTGACTCTGTTTTTCTACTGCAGAGGCTGTGGAAGTGGGAGCTCATTAAACAAAAAAATCAGGAGTTCACCCTGCATTTCAGTTCCCTTTTGGAGCCAGGGTGGATGGCAGAGAAAGGAAGGTGTGCTACTCCACAATGTGGCTGCAGACTTTGCAGCCATTGGGCTGACCTCCCCCTGGGCAGGAAAGTGGACAGACAGGGAGTGCTCTCAATTTC